AAAAGGTGAACTCTTTTTTGGTAAAGCATTGCACCAGCAATCAGATTGCTGGTGCCATGCAGTCCAGTCAGTGTATCTGCTTGCCTGTACAGGGGGGAAAAAAAAAAACCCCAGGCAGCAGCATCGGCAACCTATTCTAAACAAAAATGGGTGGAACATGTTCCCAAAAGGTGAACTTAACCTTTAAAAAGGGATTGTAAGTGCTTTTAAGAAAAAACACAGGTTTATACTCTCCTGCTCTGTGCAATGGAATTGCACAAAGCAGCCCCAAACCTTAGGTCCCCCACTGGTGCTCCTCTCCTCAGGCTCGCACCTATGCCTCGATGTCTGTGTCAAAGCTAAGACACCCAAAAGTGAGGAAAGAAAAGCTGCAGACAAGCACTGCTCTGGACCAAATGAGGGCTCAGGTAAGTAAAAGGAGATTTGGTGGGATAATGAAGCACAAAAAAAAAAAACAAAAACCACAAACTTACCTTAATGCAAGGAATGTATCAAGGTAAAAAAATATGGTTACGCTTTGTAATCACTTAAATCCATAAACAAGCACCCACAGACAAAATGAATGTTCACACTGCAGAATTTTTCTTGAAGGACCACCAACCTGACTCAGTCTAAAATCATGTTCATAAACAAAATTCCCGACTCATACTTTCTGCAGGCAAAAAAAAAAAAAAAAAGTCTGACCATCACATGCAAACCCCGCAATCAGTCAAAACTAGTTTAGAGATATGCTAAAACATTTTATTAACCAAAACACTGCTAAAACTGTACAGTATTTTAACCAATCTTTAATAATAAAAAAAAAAAAAAACAGCCACAGGAGTTAAGATTAGGATGGGGGGGAGAGAGCCTGAAATCTGCACATCAACAAGGTTACATTTACTTTGTGTGCTGTAAAATTACAAGCAACATAAACAAATGTAAGGTGGAATAAAAACTTCTAATGAAGGAATGTCAGGAAGGACAAAAGCTGAAGCATTAAATAGCACAATACCAAGATATTCACATTGTGTCTGCATTCAGACTAGTTATCCATATTTCATTTAATGAAACTAGGTACAAGGCCCAGATTTTTCATGTCTCTGGATTGGTGCTCCAAAGCTGCTCAGTGCTTAAAACCCAAGCACTAAGGCCCCTTTCACACAGGGTGGACTGATTAGATCAGCAGGGGCTCTGTCCATTGATCAGAGTGGAGTGGACAGATGACAGGTCCGTGTATGCTCAGCAGACAGACCGAGCCAGCTCTGCTCTATGGGTGTGTAAATTGACTTCACTGTACTTGCACCTGACTGCCCTCCGATCAGCCTAGATGGAGGGAAACAGATTTTTTTTTTTTTTTTAAAAGAGGACCAGATTAGAGATAGGCGAGTGTAAACAGGCACAGGTCAATTTACACCTACTGTCTCATAGGGGTCAATTGAGGGTTTGACCAGGTTGGCCTGAAAAATTGACAGCTGGACCTCAAAAAAGGACCTTCGTGCGAAAGGGGCCCTAAATCACATTCTTTGTACAGGCAGTAACTGAAGTTAAGCATCTATTGGCCATGTACTCTTGGAAGTGGTCCACACCATTTCTAGCATGTGCATACGCACACATGCATCTTAGCACAATCTTGAAAGATCCTGCATTTGGATAGTGATTCTATATGCAATAAAATCCTCTGGTCTTTTAGGAGTTGGAAGGGTTTTTGCCAAACTGAATACACGGGGAGAAAAAAGTTAAGGTCTTTGAAAGGTTTGCCCAAGTGTAGGTTAAATTAGGGGGAGGACTAAAGGACAGATCGAATTCTGCCAAAAATGGTAGTGTATACTACATCTCTTACCATCCATATATCCCATTAATGTAAGCACCCTTGTATTAACATACAAAAATTAAAAAGTTATTCCAGATCTCATTCAGCTCAACAGGGCAAAGTAAACTTCAAATTCACGTTTTTATTAAACTGAAAAAAGGATTACTGAATTGTTTGCTATGAGTACTCCAGGCTTCTTGAATAATTTTGATCTTGATATGCAAATGGGATTGTGCAAAGATAAGGTTTCTCAGTGGGATTCAAACTAAACAGTAATCCTGAGACTCAAATAATAGAATACCAAACCCAAAGCGCTCAGTCACAATGTAGCAGGTTAAGTTTCAGTATGCTTACAGTAAAGCTCCAACACATTACATATCAAAAACAGTTCAATTCAACAGGCTTCTATTGTACAGGACATCCCTCAGACCAGCACCATTGATTCCTCATGTAATGATGTAGGGGATGTACCTCTAGGAACAAATGTAGCTTGCAGAAAACACAGCAGAATGCTTTATGTCATGTATTACAATGTTTTGGTACGGTACATTTCAAATAGAAATTAAAGCTGTATAACAAATATCAGGGTTCGGGGCAACACAAAAACTGAATTGTAACATACAGTATAAAGTTAGAGGTTTATTTGACAGTTCTTCTGTCCAAAAACATAACAGAACATTTCCATCACTTGTTACAAGACAATACAATGTGAACACCTAATAAAAAAAAGGTTTAAAAAGCATGTTCAAAAACAAAAATCTTTCCATCATCTATACACAGTTGAAGGCAGCCAAAATTATTTTCTCTCGTTTGACCTGGAACGGCTGTGAAGAGGGGAAAAAAAAATAAAAAATTACTGACAAGAAAATATTTTTTCATTGCAACTTGTAAAAAAAAAACCTTGCTGCTGCTGGTACATACCTACAACAATGTCAAAAAGCTTGATGGTACAGCTGAAAGCCAGGCCTCTGTTCAAGCTTGGCCACTCCTTGCTGCCTCAAACTATTGACCCAATCAGATATAGGACAGGGACAGTGCTTGGTCACAAGATGAAACTGATTACCCAACACTTTCCCTGACACAACAGTCTGTGTGTCTGCAAACTTTTTGAAATTGCTGCAGGTATACGAATCTGGTTTGCATAAATGCTACATTTGTTTTAGCTTTGCGACAATATTTTTCAATCTAAAAGGGCACAAAAAACAAACAGAAAAAAAATTGCTATGCAATGCTTCTTTATTGTTAAGTGCCAGCCATGTCACAGTGCAAAGCAGGGCACATCTCAAAATGGTCATTGAATGCTGGACTGCTTGCACAATGAGTAAATTTCCAGTGGTATTAATGAGTAACTGGCAGTGAGGAGTCTTTACTCACTGTACATTCACTTTACAATATCACTACAAATTACCTTCTTGATCTTGAAAAAGAACGTGATGGTTTATGATTCCTTTCTCTGGACAAAGATCTCTCTCTTCTACGATCTCTAGAAAGGGACCTATAAGAAAGAATCCGGATTAAATATCTTGAACAATTAAACTTTTGAATCAAAACACTCCATAAAGGATTCATATACAGTGAAGGAAATAAGTGTTTGATCCCCTGCTGATTTTGAATGTTTGCCCACTCAAAGAAATGATCAGTCTAAAATCGAATGGTAGGTGTATTGTAACAGACAGAATGGCAACAAAAAATTCAAAACAAATGCATGTCTAACAAATTATGCACTGATTTGCATGTTCATGGAAACCTGGTGGCCAACTACAGGAAACGTCTGACCTCTGATTGCCAACAAGGGATTTGCCACCAAGTACTAAGTCATGTTTTGTGCAGGGGATCAAAAAAAAAAATTGTGAACATGCATTATCTATGTAAAATTCATTCTGATTAAAAGGTGCGAGCACAGGGGCACTTTAAACTTTTTTTGCACTGTCGCTGTAAAAAATTTTTTAATCACTTTTATTCTTATCACAAGAAATGCTTGCATCCCTTGTGATATAAATAGTGACAGGTCCTCTTTTTGCAGATATGGGGTCAATAACCCCACATCTCTCCTCTGTGTAAAAAAAAAAAAAAATTAAAAATGGCTGCAACGGGAAGTGACATCGCTCCGGTCCTCCAAAGGCATAGAGATGAGTGGCAGCCATATTTCCTTCACTAATCTATGCCCAGCGCCAGGACTGATGGTTTCTCATGTAAGGCTGAGATCTACAGAGCGGTGGCAGATGGCGGCAGCGGTCAGTCTCTCAGCACCTGTATCTGTTTTTTTTTTTTTTTTTTTTTTAAATTTCAGCCAACAGCCGAAACGTTTCAGCCACCAAAATTTTCAGTGCATCCTTAATCTACAGCTAGATTTTTTAGAACCCACAGGATGCATTTAAAACTATCTGCATGGATTACTTTATGTAAAAGGTGAATTTTGTCATTAACCCCAATTGGAAACTCTAATTTGAAAAACAAAACCTACACAATAATCCACACAATACAGATGTGGAAGCTTTGCTATAAAATAGTTTTGCCATAAAATTTCAGCCAAGTATATCTATATCCTCTGAATTTTCCAACACAGTTATCTGTTTGTGCATCTTATCACACATCCAAATTATATTAGAAAATTAGACCATATTATAATTAGAAAAGGAATTCTGCATTAAAAAGTTGCTTGATCAAAACCACTATTAGGGTTCAACTTGTCTGTTTTACAAACAATTTTATAAAGCATTCAAACTGATAACTGAATTTATGCTCCCTTGTCTCCCATTCTCTGGAACTCCCTACCCTCGTCTGTCCAGATAACCCCTACTCAGTCCACTTTTAGACAAACCCTGAAAACTAATCTCTTCAGGGAAGCCTAGCCTGGCTTCAGCTAACAACCAATATCTGCCTGGATATAGATGGCAAGAATCACATTTCATTTTACAATGGGGGAAAAAAACAAAAAACCAAAAAAAAAAAAAAAAAACAATTTTACACACTTAGCGGGATTTACTGAAATTTTCTCCACCTCAAAGCCTACATAAGCAAAAATTGAATGCTGGGTTCACTTTCTCACAAGATGCAGAATTGCCTGGAATTGACCTATACACAGTTGGCAACCAAAGGGACCATACATACTATACCGTACACAGCCTGTTTGGCAGATCAAGCCAAGAGATAAGTTATTAGTCCAACACATTGGGTGTATTAGGCACACTAGTACAAGACAAGAACCTTACCTACTACGGCTACGTGAAAAGCTCCTTCTCCTTGGAGATCTAGCGCGAAAGAAAAAACAAAAATAAGTTTAGCCTTTGATGTGGAACAGAAGAATTTACCTAAATCCGCTCAGTGAAGACCCAAGCATTTTATACCTACGTACAATATAAACCATCGCTACCACCTAGAAGGTTGGGAAGAGAAACTGGAAATGGAAAATTAAATAGTCGTATTTAAAACTTCCACTAAGGTGCTCATACTTGTCAGCCTGCTAGCTGTGGACTGTTTACTCTGAACACCACTTGTGAACGCAGACTGGCTTGGTTAAAAAAACAAAAACCTTTAATCATGCAAACCCGGTGGCCATAGTAGAAACAAAATGTGCAAGCCGTTTGCACTTTGCAAAATTAGGGGGGAAAGAAAAAAAAAAAAAATCTGATTCAGAGAACATGTATCTATATATTTCAGTAACCTATTACAGTCTCAAAATTTGTTAGCTAAATTGAATGGTGGGTTAGTAATGAATACCAAACATTTAAAGATGATAGATTACTTGCAAAACCTAGAGCCAGGACAGCCATCACAGCTCATGAACTGGCCCAGATTCAATGATAAAAAGATTTGTCTATCACCCTTAAAAGCTCCAAAAATGTTAAGCATTTTACCTTCATGTTTATGCACAGCCAGCCTTAGATTGAGCAAAGTAGAGAATAAAAAATACCTTCTTACAAAAGCTGCTTAAAGTCTAACTTAAACCAGCAGAAAACTCTGTATAAGCAGGAAAAAACTTACTAGTTTTTGGGGTTTAACCAGCTAGAAATGGCGAAGATGCCGGACAGGTGGACAAGTAGAATTTGTAGATAAGTTTTGCCAGGTGTTGCGTTGAATTTAGATGGTTTGCGAAGGGGGATGATGTGGTTTTTCCTGCTTTTTTTGGTTAGCCGTAGGCTGGTGCTGCAGTTGTTGTGAAGACATTTTGTCAAAGTTAACAGCTGTGCAGATTGGCCGGTAATGTGTGGGCGCTGAAGGTGGGCTGCTGCCGAGTTTTGGTTAAGGTTGGAGAGGAGGAAGGCTGAGTGGACAGCATGCTCGGGTACCAAAGGGCGGTGCAACCTGATGACTGGCCATGCCTGGGTCATGTGATACGACACCAGCCAAGCTGAATGGGGCGCGCTGGTCACATGACGCTGAAAGGGGTAGTTGACTGGCTAATGTAGACCCAGAGGGTGGTGAGAAGAGACATGATGGTGACTCTGTAACGGGTTTCATTTTTATTAGATGGACCAAAAGCACACACAAAAGAAATACAAACAAAAAAACAAACAAAAACAAAACAAACCATCAGTATAACTACCTACTTCTAACTGATGGGGTATACTTAAACTGTTTCTTGCAACTATTAGTTTAAGATTACAAAGTATATATATATAAAAAAAAAAAAATTTTAATCTGACATAAGCAAGCATGGAAACTATTGATGGACCTAATCAAGACACAAAAGCTGCACACCACTTTTCATTCTAAAATGACACTTATGAAATTTGGTCATCCTAGTTCATTAAAGGCCCATTCACATGATGCATAAAACAATGCAATTTCCTGCATTAAGGTGACCTGCATTAAAGCTGACTCATTCACTCAGTCTGGCAGTACACCTTAACGCACCTTCAGATTCACATGCCAGTGTGCTTTCCAGCAGTGCACTAGAAGATGCAGTACAAGGGTGCCAATCTAAATAAATGGGCAGCAACTTTTGTTGCAGTAACCCATTTTACTGTGACACCAGTGTGAATGGACCCAAAAAATCTATTTGCTTGCAACAGAAAGGGGGGAATAGCAAACAATGAAGTGTGCTGCTTAATTGTGTCCTATCGCCTGCTAAACTTTTTAACCAAAAACAGAATTCTAGTAAGGTTTTCAATTGAGGGCCTATTTATAAAAAAAAATTATTAATTTTCCCCCCAATTGCCATATTTCACCAAGTCTCAAATATCAAGTACCAAAAAAGGTAAAGAAATGGAGGTAAAAATGGCAAAAAAAAAAAAAAAAAAAAAAGTGGTGGCACAAGAGATACTGACTGGGAAGAAGACAAAATTGCAAGGGTGCCACAAAAAAAAAAAAAAAACAGAAAAAAAAACAGCAATGCAGGTGAAAAGTTAATTTTTCCACTTTATGGACAAACTGAAACCCAATAGTGAAGGATTTCAGATCAATTGCATGAAAATGAAAAGCTGTGAAATACTGGCAATTTTTCCCTACCACAAAGCAGGTGTATAGAATTTTTGACTTTGCCTCTTTATAAATAGGCCCCTTTGCTTCTTCAAGCTCAGACTATAAAGCAAGCAGCAATTCAAAAAGGGGAAAAAATTCTGGTTTTGCAAATGTCTGCATATAAGGTAGATCACTCTATGCAGATCTCAAGGAGCTGCATATAAGACTAAATTGTTTTGATTTCTGAAAAGAGAAGAGAAGATCCATTAAAAGACCAGAGGATGGCATCTCTTCTCCCTACAGTCAACCCCGCGACTGCCAGCCATATTGAAGCTTCTATAATGCAAATGATAATGGCAGATACACTACACAGCCCAGCCCGAATGTGGGGATGGCAACGAGCCATGCACCCACATGCAAACTGGTGGAGAAACACCTTTCAGCTGTGCTATCTGCAGAGACCAAATGTACTTGGATGTTTCCCACACCGTGGAATACATGAAGTACACAGAACAAAACCAGAAGCCTACATTACAAATGAGGATCTTGCAAACCAAAACTGGCACAGAATTAAAAGGAAGTGTAATGTATAAAACACTACAGTGAGCAAATGATAGTTTGGACAATGTTTATGTAAAAGGATGTGCACTTAAGCACACGCACGCACACACACACACACGCATTTATAGTTCAATACATGTACAGTTAAATGCAGAGGATTTCTGCTTACGTAATCAAGTTTAACAATTTGTTTCACCTAGTCACATAGGTCATTTCAGTAGCGACAAATGATGTCTAGGTAAAGCAATGGGTGACTGGCACAACCTTCATTTCTTTTAATGCTGCGTTTTAATTTTAAAATGTTGAAATCCATTCAAACTGTTTTTCAAGAGGTGACTGGACTTACTCTTACCAAGTTAAAAACAAAAGACACACCTTTATTATATACTAATTAACATCAAACTTTGGTAGAATACCTGCGTCTTGGAGGAGGACTCCTCCTACGGTAATCATCCCTAGGCCTCCTGTTCCAAGATGGTGGAGGACCACGATTCCGGCTTCGTTTTTCACCATTCGATAATTCAACCCGAACGCGACACCCACACATTGTCCTGAGAATAAACAAATATCCATGTGGATAATGCATGTTTACGCATACCAAAGCACAGAGTAGCCCCAATTCTCCTTTTCTGGGGTCCCCGCAGGTGCTCCGTGCTCCTCCCTCCTGCTAAATTGCCACCTGAGCAGGCGCGCGCGTGCACACACACACGGCTTGGCCCAGCCCCCCCCTCTCATCGGCTCACTGGCTGTGAATGACAGCAGCAAGAGCCAAAGGCTCCCACTGCTGTCTCAGCTAATGGTGGGGGAGAGTCCCTGGAGAGCAGAGGCTCTCGCTGGCTCACAATGGGGCTCAGTAAGTATTAAGGGGGCTTGCTGCACACTGAAGGGTTTTATTACCTTCATGCATAGAATGAATGAAGGTAAACAATACCTTGAGTCTTTACAACACTTGTGTTATTTCATCACATCACAGGTACCCCAATGAGCATGCATACCAGATACCCAGAATACCTGCATGCTCTAATATGCATTTCCAGGGTAGAAGGGTTGGTAGACCAATGGTGAGGCAAAGGTAACAGACAGGACCAGGCTACAAGCCCATCCATCCAGCAAGTGCATATTAACACATCTAAACATTCTACACACCAGAGGAAACCACAGAGTATTGGTCGCCTTCACTTCCCCTCTAGGTATTCCTATGGATGTGATACTAAGCAGGTCAGCTAGCACAAAATATAAAAAACAGATATACAAGTATTCCACTGTATATCTTACATCAGTTACATTCTTTTGCATCAGTCAGCAACTGTGTTCCTCATTTTCAGCACCATTTTTTAAAAAAAAAAAAGAAAAAAAAAAAAAAAAAAAAAAAGAGGAAAAACACTACATTCAAACACATACTGGATATGTGCAATCAAAAGTATTAACACATGCACATCAACGCAAGACAGTCATTCTGAAAGGCAAGTGAAGGAAATTACCGTCCATCAAGCTCTCTAACCGCATCAGCTGCATCTCTGGGATCTTCAAATTCTACGAATGCAAAGCCAGGGGGATTCCTGGCAACCCACACACTACGAAGAGGTCCATAGTACCCAAACGCCCGCTCAAGTTCTGTCTTATTGCCATTGTTTCCAAGATTTCCTACATAGACTTTGCAGTCTAGCGGACAAGAGTCACGGTGCATGGCTGTAACATAAAGGCAGACTGTCAAAAATGGATTTCATTCCTAAGACAGACATACAGAGACTGTACAGTGTCCATATGACATTCCAATAAAATCAGCAAAATCAAAAATACATTTCAATTTGAGTACATTGCTAAGTAAAAATCCTATTTGGTGGCTATTGCACATTTATCTACTGCTCACAGCGTTATTGAATAAAATCTAGACCAGCCTTTCTCAGCCTTTTTACACAGAGAACCTCTTGAAATAACTTTCCAGCCTCAGGGGACCCTTGCACTGAAAAGGATTCTCACTACATTTGTGGTCATTGAAGAGTTCCCTATGCAAAGGTCATTGTTGTCAGGGCTTGGTTAACAGAGGCAGAAACCACTCAAAGAACCTCCAAAAGGAACCCTACGGTTCCACAGACCTCTGATTATGTTCTAGACACAAAATGTGAGCTTCTAGACATTACGGATGCAGAAACAAAAGCACAAAAACACATGTACAATGCAGTCTGATGAGTTTCTGTACCTCCGCACCATAGAAAACCATATTACTTACATTAATAATGCATTACCTGTATTAAGGATAAAGAAGCCAAAAATCTTCCACTAGTTGCTCCACCCCAACCCTCCTCCCCCCCGCCGGGGCAGACCCCCTTTTGCCTTCAGAACTACCTTAATTATTCATGGCATAGATTCAACAAGGCGTTGGAATCATTCTTTTGAGATTTTGGTCCATTACCGTTGCCTTTCTAGCATCTCGAACCAGCCTGCCCATTCTCCTCTGACCTCAACAAAGACTTCTTATCCACACAACTGCTGCTCACTGGATATTTTCTCTTTTTTGGACCATTCTCTGTAAACCCTAGAGATGGTTGTGTGTGAAAATCCCAGATCAGTAGTTTTTGAAATCCTCAGACCGGCCTGTATGGCACAAACAATTGCATGTTCAGAGTTACTTAAATCCCCTTTATGATGCTCAGTCGTCAGGTTGTCTTCACGTCTAAATGCCTAAATACATAGTTTCTGCCATGTGATTGATGGATTAGAAATTTATGTTACCAAGCTATTGAACAGGTGTACCTAATAAAGCGGCCAGTAAGTAGAACATGTTTGTTATTTAAAAAACACCTTTACAACCTCTAAGGGGTGTGTGTTGGGGGAATGTGACAATGTTTCACATCACACCTTAAGCATGGATGTACATATGTAACATAAAACAGGGTCAGAAAGGTAACTGCCGTTAAAAGTGAACAAGACCCCAGGCTCATCAAAAGCCTTTTAACTGCCTCCCGCCTGCCGTATAAGGTAATGACGTGCGCAAGGCGGTTCTCTCATTCTGGGAGGACGTCATATGATGTCCTCCCATTCTAACCACACATGCACGGCGATCGGTGGTGCACTGTGTCCCTCGAAGATGTCGGCTTGGTCATGTGATCAGCTGTGTCCAATCACAGCTGATCGCATGTAAATAGGGAAATGCCGGTTATCGGCATTTCTCTCACGAGCTGTCACGCTGACAGCTCGAGAGGAGAGCCGGTAATCTGATCAGTGTGCCCCGATGATAAGTGTAGCCCCAGCAGTGCCAGCTCTCAGTGCTCATCAATGCCACCTGCCAGTGCCACCCACCAATGCCCGGCGGTGCCGCCTCATTAGTGCACATCAGTGGAGAACAATCACTTATTTACAAAATTTTATAATAAAAACAAAAAAATTTGAAGAAAAAGTTTAAGAAAAATGAAAAAACCCAGAGGTGATTAAATACCACCAAAAGAAAGCTCCATCTGTCTAAAAAAAATGATAAAAATTTCTTATCGGTAGTGTTGCATGACTGCACAATTGTCATTCAAAGTGTGACAGCGCTGAAAATTGACCTGGGCAGGAAGGGGGTATAAGTGCCCTGTAGGCAAGTGGTTAATGGACCACACACAAATAGCAATCAAAGCACAATGGATGGCGAAGGACCTGCCTCTTATTTGAATGACCACAGAAACCCATAACGTTTCTCCATTCCCCTCCCCCAGATAGGGAAACAATACAAAGCTGTATAAAGGAGGGGTTCTGCAACCCCCCCCCCCCCCCCAACATTACTCTGCATCTCCCCATGAATAATAAAAGCTGGAATAGAAAAAAAAAAAATATATGAATATCTGCCCCATTGCTTGCTCTTGAAAGGAATCTTGTTGCACACAACCCTTCCCAGTGTGACAGGGGCCAGGCAATCTACTATGGGACCATCTTCTGGCCTCTACATCGCCATAGGGCACAGTTGTGCTATGAGGGGACCACAACATGCAGCAAGACAGCCACCCCACACACCTGGAAAGGAGCTTCGTCAGCCTGTGAGGATCCAAAGCTGACCACATACACTATGCAATCTTCATTAAATGAAGTGCTTCCTCATATTACATAGACCTGTTAAACCTAAACCTGGCTATACACTACATAATATTGTACAACCTCCTTTAGGGTCAGCATACACGTTACAATCTGGATACATGAAGTCATCTTAAGATAGATTTGTACTCAAACTGACAGGCCCATGCACTACATAGCTAATCAAAAGGAGATTGTATGGTCAGACTAAAGTGTATGGTGAGCTTTTGATTTACCAACACTATCTAATAGGATGACAAACCTAAACAATCCATTCAATTTGTATGAAGTTAGACGGCCCCTGCACTACATAGTTGATGATCGATCTAATTGCAGTGCCACACATCTCCATTTTATCGGATGGATGTTAAATTGATGAAAATCACAAACAATGGAATAGTCATAACTTCCCTTCAGATTGATTTAGATCTGATCAAACTGAATCAGTAAATCAACCTGGGCAAAATCCTATCAATTATTTTACATCGATCTGCAGCATTGAGATCCTTTGTTCATGAATACAATTCTATTTTGATTGACCATATGTGATTACATGGTAGAAACAGATGAAATTGATCATCTACAATTGTAAGTCATCAAAAACCACTCCCCTGCATGTGCTATAACAACTGAATGGGTTGTCGGCTCTAGATTGATTGTGACGAGAATGATCAAAAAAGAAGATCATTTATCAACATGTGACCATAAGGCTGACATACATTGATACCATCTGCTTGTACAATCTCCATTAGATCTACCATCAACTATGAAGCAGGCCTGCCCAGGTAGGTATATACTGAATGCATTGTTTAGGCGTGTCCTTGTATTATACAGCTTTGGTAAATCTAGAGCTGGGTACACAGCAGTAAATTCAAGTGAAAATCCCCAGTTCATTTCAATGTTGTTCCAAAGTAGCTCAAGATTTCATTTGCATTAACATTTAATTTCATAATTAATGGACTTCACCCAGTGAAATCCTCATACTATTAATCTGGCTGCTAAACAATTGACCTATAAATGACTAGGAGAGAGAAAAAAGAAAGTCGTTCAGTTCACATTTATTACCTTAAAACAGAAATTCAGTGTCGCAGTAAGCATGGGGAAAAAAAAAAAAAAAAAAAAAAAGGGTGGGGTGGAAATTGGTCTTCAGACTATTTTTTGTTTGATGACCTATCCATGTGCAGCCAGCTTCAGAAATTCACACAATCAAGAAAAAAATCCATCCTGCTCCTTTTTGTCACGGTTATCTAAAATGAATATTGATTTGACCCCACTAATAATCAGAACAGCTAACATTCTTACAACGAAAATGGTAAAATGGTCAACTGAAATTCTACCACCCAGCTTAAAGGAGACTGTACAGTGTGACCAACCAAAAATGGCAACACAAAAGAAATGATATTACAGTTTACCAAATGGGATGGCTGCATTAGTTTTCTTTTTTTAGACCAACTTCCATTTTCACCTGTTGACCTGGCCAGTAAGGCCTCATGTACACTGCTGCTCTTAAACACGAGTTTAGGAGCTTTTGGTGTTTTGTTGCCAAAGCCCATGAACGCAACAAAAGCCTATCTGTACACATAGGCTTTTATCAGCGTTTAGAAGCAGTGTTTAGGGGCACTTAATTGTCCCTCTCCTGAATGCAGAGAAATCGTTTTTAGCGTGTTCTCTTAACAAAATGCAGCAAAAACATGTAAATGCATCCCCCACAGTTATTACCTTTTGCACCACTAGCCCCTCCCTCCTAGATTGTAAACTCCAAGGAGCAGGGCCCTGCTATCCCTCTTGTATTGAACTGTATTGTCTCTGGTCATATTGTAAAGTGCTGAGCAAACTGTTGGCACTATATAAGTCCTGTATAATAACATAAGCACCAGCTGCATTTAACACTTGGGTCTTCATTCATTTCAATGGCAAGTACCAATAAAACGAATAACCGTCCAAGTGCTAAACACGGTACATCATCTACGCCATGTTCAGCATTTTCCTGCTGCCAGTTCCAATGTACATGTAGCCCAAAAAAAAAAAAAAACCTAGCAGAATGCATTAGTTATATAAACCATTTAACATTGATAGGGGTGCTTACAATTATCAGCTTTTATGTAAAATCTTTACCCCAAAATTAAAAAAACATGAAGACTGCTGTAACGGATTTTGAAGTATAAGCTGGAGTTTGGCTTTTAGATATTAGTGTATGTAAATCTGCTAGTACATCTAACACTCCCCTCCCCCCAGACTGACAATGCTCATGTCCAAACGTGCCTCCTGTGCTCCATCTTACCCTAGGTCAGTGGTTGGCAAGCCGCGGCTCGCGAGCCACATGCGGCTCTTTACACACATTAATGCGGCTCTTCTGTGTGCCGGGCGCCCGCTCCCCTCCCTCCTCTCGGGCAGCCGCCCCAGAAGTCAGGATTCTGCAGCTAGCCCAGCAATGGGCAAACTATGGCCCGGCGGACCTTTTAATCCGGCCCGCAGAGCGTGGCAAACATTGGCTGTCAGGATGTAGGCGGGGCAGCGTGACGAACTCCTCTCCTCTCACAGTCCGCCCTGAAGACCGGAACGGCGCGGGAACATGGCGAGAGGAACGCGCGGAGCAAAGGTAAGTGAATTGACACAATAGGGGGGATGAATTACTATAGG